GCATGACGGACCCCCCCCCCCACCCTCCTCCCGTGACTCCGTTTGGTTTCATCAACAGTGAAGTCGCGCTCCATCACCAGAGTGGAAGCAGCACCAAAACAAACAAACAGGCGACGGGTTTATCACTGTAAACACTCGTGGCCGGTGTTAACGGTTGATGAAGCTTCAGGATAAAAAAACTAAAAGGTCCAAAAAAAAGATGATTCTCTCTGAGTTCAGCGACGTCTCATTTCCTGTCAGTAAACATCACAGTCTGAATCAGAGTTCTTTTTACTGTCATTGTTCAACAAAAAAAAGATGATGATGCAATGTTTCAAGTTCAACAGGTCGATGACTGGAACAATCAGACCAAAGCAGCACAAACGACACAAAAAAAATCTAAACTTCATTCTGTCTCATTTCTGTTTGTCTCCACTGTGACCTTTTGACCTCAGGACCTGGAACTATAGACACTGACAAAGGCAGTAAAACTGTTCCACAAACATTATTCTTCACACATTCTTCACACGTCAACAGCGAGAAGATCGACCGCGAGGATCGAAACCAGCGACGGCCGACGCTGGAAATAAATAACGAGTTTTTAACCACATGCAACAACGACAACAACAACAGTGACAACTCTGGTGATCTCAGCTCTGAGAACAGTCTGTAGGAGAACAGGTTCTGTGTTCTGTAACCGTGGCTGGATGTAGACGCCGGGCGCCGTTTCAGAGAAACGCTCGGCGGACACTCAAAGGTTGAAAGGCGTTTTACGGCTGCGTTATCTGCCGTGTTTATGATTCGACCAAACCTTTACACTAAGGTACACAAATCAAACATTAACCCTCTGGCCAACAGTAAGTTAGGAGGAAGTCAGGAAGGTTCTGGAAACCAGTGACCTCAGAGAGTTACGTTTGTGTTTCTGCCCCGAAACAATAGAAAAAAAAAATGTTGACAGTTGGGATGTTAATTTAATAACGTCCCAACACACACACTGTCGACTGACAAAACAAAGTGTGTTGATCAAACGTTAAAAAAAAAAAATCGAACTACTGAAACTAAAACACCCGGTGGTCACATGACTGATTCTCAGACAACCCCTGAACGCCTCATCTGCTCCAAAGGAACATCTGACTGTACATGGATTACAGTAGCAGTGTGTGTGTGTGTGTGTGTGTGTGTGACATGTACAGTAAAACACACGGCGGTGGCAGAAGATTTTACATAAGTCTCGAATCATCAACGAAAAGTAAATTCAAGGTGAAAAAAACAGATCAGTGAAGGAAGAGGAGGAAGAGGAAGAGGAAGAGCTGAGAAATGAGTTCAGACTTTTGCAATTATGAAACTTGGAATGGAATTGGAATTTTATATATGTTATCATTATTATTATTAATGGTATATATATATTTTTCATTTTAAATTTAAAATTAACGTCAAGGACGTAGGAAAAATAATTTATAAAAAAATACAATCAAATAATGAAGCAGTGACAGGAGGAAGGGTGACGCCTTTTGTTTACACTGTTGGTGGTGATTTCCAAGCTGAGGCCGGCACACACACACGCACGTGCACGCGCAAACACACACACACACACACTCTGTGTAGGTCAGAGAGATCAGCCAAGCTCTTCATTGACCATCACTCCATCTCTTCATTACGGCCAGGTTTTTTTTCTTACTCTGGCACAAACACAAACACACACGCGCACCCGCGCCCGCGCGCGCACGTCCAGAATCAGGCCACGGGAGGGTTATTATTACACAGCGCTCGGATGGATAAGTAGGTAACAGGTCAACGCGCAACATCTGGACGCGAAACACGCAGCCAAAAAAACAAGTGCGTCCGCAACATCCCGACTCCTCTTCCTCCTCCTCCTCCTCCTCCTGCTGCTGCTGCTGTTGCTGCTGCTGCTGCTGCTGCTGCGGTGCCTCCGCCGCTTTTACAGCACCGATAAAACCCAGATTAGGAGGCCGGGCAGAGAGCCGAGGAAACCCGCGGAGGGTGAGGAGATCAGGGGGCGAAGAGTGGATGATAATCTGGACATAACATCGGGATCGGTGGATGTAACCGGATTAAATGGCTAATGAAATACATCAGATACGGTGGAATAGTGGAAAGAGAGGGGGGGGGGCGGTGGT